ATAATTCCAGTAGATTATAATTACGGAGAATTAATATCCAAAACAATTTCCACACTCAAATCATTGACTTACCTTTTATAAGTAATGGATCCAAGTGCATAGCCATTAAATTCAAATATTTCTATAGACATTTTTTCATCTGTAAATATTTTTAATTATTGTGGTAATTCAAAAAAATTGAAATTGTAAAAAAGATTGGGATAAAATACACAATTGGGATAGAGAGACACAAAACATTAAGGTGTCCCTAAATACACAATTGGGATAAAATTATAATTATTATAACGAAGACCTAAATTAGAAAAAGGTTAATCCGAAAGGGTCATTTTGAAAAATTACTCTACATTTAAGTGTTGAAAATACCTATACTTCCTCCATTGAACATCCATTTAACAAACATATACGGAGGACACTGAGTGAATAAATGTCAACTATAAAGTACTACATATATAATTAATGCTTAATAACACTGATTTTGGAAAATACCTTATTCGAAAAGACTATTTTGAGATCATTCAAAGAAATTTATAATTTATAATTAGGTGATTAAAGGACTTACGACTATATTTTCTAAGAGAATTATACGTGTCATGATTATGTACTTTATTTTTAGACAAATGGATAATCAGAGGCGGATCTACTTGGAGTCCTATGGGGTCCCGGGACCCCACGGACCTCCACGTAGGATATTATATATATTAGGTATTTTTTTAATATTGTTATACATATAACGAAAAGCAATAGTAAAATATGTGGTCTATGTGCTCGAGTGGTCGGATGCGTGTGTTGTAGTTCCCATATTTGTTGTTGGTTCGATCCCTCCTTTCATTAGACTTGAGTGATTTTTCTCTACATCCCTAGCAAAGACCAAAAAAACACATTTTAGGTAGATTAATTGAATTATACCTAATTCCTCCTCTCAAAGTTTATTCACTTTTTTATATATTCATTCAAAAATATTTTTTTTACTATTTTCTTTCTCTTTTTTAAAAAATGATTTATTTTACAAAATACGTAGTATTTATTTCTCTTCAAAATATATTCAAATTATACAATTTTCACCTTTTAACAACTTTTCAAATTTTGTATATGTATAATTATATGTAGTATCAAAATAATTCTCTTTTTTAAAAAATGATTTATTTTACAAAATACGTAGTATTTATTTCTCTTCAAAATATATTCAAATTATACAATTTTCACCTTTTAACAACTTTTCAAATTTTGTATATGTATAATTATATGTAGTATCAAAATACAAAATATTAATGTTTTGAAAAGTTTATCTAACAGTAGCGTTTGACTTTACTATTTTTAAAATTAATTTATATATTTAATTTGTTCAAAACTGCTAACACTAATATTTGAAAATGTTATTTTCAAACAAAATCTAGATCTAAACTTTCTTCATTTAAAACTTTTCACAAGCAACCATCATTCATAACAATTGACTTTTGTTTATGCTCTAACAAGCCCCCAAATGAGTGCACAATTTTTGTTTATGGTGAGTCTTCTATGTGAATATTAATTATTTTTAATTGTGTGGTGGTGAGATTTAAACTTGTGACTTCTAAGTCAGTAAAACTTTGATATCATGCCAATGAACAAATTCAATCGGAAGATTAAAGTTGTGCTTGTAGATACTATAACAAATTTTATCCTTTAAGGGTTTCCAATGCAAAATTTATGACTATAAAAAATTGACTTGATTATTAAATTTAGAATGTCATTCAAATAGTACATATTTTTAGTTTGTTTTAAATGAAATTTAATTTGAATAACAAAAACTTAAACAGGGATCCCATGGCTCGAAATTCCTGGATCCGCCTCTGTGGATAATACGTGTACTATGAGATTGACTCAATGCATATCTTACCTAGAACTTTTATTTATGGTAAGATGACTAATTATGATATGAAATAAAAGTATTTCCATAGAATATAACTATTTTTAAAATATTGAATATTTAAAATAAATTAGAAAAAAGCTTTAAATTAAATTTATACTTGTAAGTGCTAAGTTACATCTTAAAAAATGGTAAGTAACAATGCAAACTTTGATTAAAATAATAAATCAAATTAGCATGATAAAGTGCAAAAGTCAAATTCAATATTCGTTCTAATTCATTTGGTTTAACACTTGATCTATCATTTAAAAAATAATCTAGTCATCTCTTATTTTAAAGATTTTAATATAGGGATTTAAAACTATTTTTTTATTTTACATCAATATTTAAATAAATAGAATAAAACTAATTTCATTCAATCATAATGATCACCTCTAAAATGATAGATATTTTTTAAATAAGTTTTGAAAATAAATGAGGTATTCATACCTTTTTTCAAACCATTCAGAGCACTGGAACTATCTTAATATATTCCATTCAAAAATATATGTTGTTATTCGATTCTTGAATCTATAAATATATGAATGCCAAGACTATATTTTTTTAATTATTTATTTTTACTATTATATATTTTCTATATGAAAATTATGTTCCAATAAAATGAAAAATAAAGGCTCAAAAAGTCCTACTAATAAAGAGGATGAAAACACTTCTTTTTAAAATTTATATTTCCTTTATGGAAATACTTTCATTTAAAAACAAAAGTTTTATCATTTATAAACACGGTCTCTATCATAAATATATACCTTTAAAGTTTATGAATACTGTGATATAAATATATATATTGTTAGCCTTGGTTTGCTAAGCCTCATGTTTTGATGTTAACAAACAATATAAGAGCTTGACGTTTGTTTAAGTGTTTCAGGTACAACAAGAATCCATTAAGATTCGGTTCTCAAGAATGAAGTCGAAACACTAAACTAGCGTAGAATTTAGGTAGAAACCAATGTAAGGATATGACTTTATATACCTATATTCACAAGCTCAAAAGCACTCACAAAATATGTTTAAAACCATCCCATTAAACATTTTCAAACATCTAAAAGGTTTTAAACTTAAACACGAAGGATTAAGGATATTTTGAAAAACGCAGGACTGTAGCACGGACCCCCCTACCGTCTGCACGGGGCCCCCCTACCGTCTGGACGGGACCCCCCCTACCGTAAGGGGTACCGTACTAAGATAGGTACCGCCAGAGAGTTTTGGCCTGAGAAGGTACCTAGCTACCGTAAGCACGAGACCCCCCTACCGTATGGACGGGACCCCCTACCGTGACCGTTGGATTACTGTTCCTGATTTGTGATTTTGAATTTAATCAATCCTAATCACCTCCCAACGGCTAATTAACATCTTCCACTATAAATACAAGCCTAATCCTTCATATTTCTTTAAGAAACAAAGCTCTAAACATCCTCTCTTTTTATTCCAAGTGTGTTCATCCTTCTATTAATTATTTTCAATATTTTTGGTTATTTTAAGAGCCTTAAATTCCTAATTTTTATACACATACTTTGAGCTTGTGTTTCTAGTTATATACTCTCATATTCATAAGTTTGAATTGTATTTTTGAGAGAGTATACTTTCTTTCTACACCGGCTAAGTTTAGTTCTTCATTTTTATATTCTAGCCGTTGTGTAGAATCCTCTTTTGTGTTCTTCAAACACACCTTCTTATGGTCGAGAATAGCCGTTAAATTCTCACGTTGTAACGGTCAAGGATAGCCGTATAAATCCTTGGGTAAAGGTTCAACGATAGCCTTTGAAATCCTTGGGGGAACGGTAGAAGATAGCCGTTAAATCTTCATTGTAAACGGTTCGAAATAGCCGTTGTGAAATCTCGGAGTGAATCCTATTGGCAAGGGTTGTTTGCCAAAACTAGAACGGTGCTTTGACGGAGTTCAAGAGACCGAGACTTAGTGGATTCGGAAATCCTTGAGGAGAAGCCTCGAGGTACTGGAGTAGGGAGTTCCCGAACCAGTATAAAATCGGTGTTCATTTTATTTACGCTTTTATTTCCGCGTTTTATATATTGCTTTCGCATTTGCCAACAACGTTTTTATTAAACTCTGAAAAGATTTTAAAACGCCTTATTCACCCTCCCCCCCTCTAAGGCGTGGGCACAACGACTAAACCGACTAACATATATAATATCTCAAACAAAATTTAAATCTTGATAGATTTTTTATACTCCCAATTATATATTTAAGGAAATTTTAATTATTAAAAAAGTTATTGAATACATTAAACCACAAAGTTTTCATATTAAAGATTATCTAATATACAAAAACCCATAATGCACTAAATTTATTTAATAAATTTCTCATCTTTAATTAGTGGTATAAGATGAGCTACTCCAGAGTATATTTTAGCTCAATAAATTTTCATACAAAAGAATAAATTAATAATTTTTAAAAAATTATATTTTACTCAAAAGACTTCTAATATGATTTTTGTTTTTATAAAAAAAACCAGGCTAATCATGATTAATTTATTTACTTTTTGTTGAAAAATTTCATTTACATAATTTTCAATAAATTAAAAAGTCCATATTTTTTCAATAAAAAAAATATATTGTTTTAAACTCATCATATTTTAAAGGTTATCATAAATAAATTTCCATAAATGATGAATGAGAATTTAAACATGTTATGTATTTTATTCATGTGCCATGTCATTTAAAAATTGTCATGTAAGATGACATATGTCAACTTCTTGGAAACATGAGTCCCAAATATTATAGTAAAGGATGACACTGTATAAGATCATTTTATAACATTTTTGGTATTATATATTGACATGATTGACATTCTATATGCATTTTAACAACGTTTTTGCCCCTGAATATTTATTCACTTTTAACTTTTTTGATCAAAATTAGTAAACTTTGAACTTAAATTAAATAAAAATGATATTAGATATTGATATAAAAATAGTTTTGACTATAAAAGTTGAAAAGTATTGACTAAAAAAATCAAAACAAGACAAATATTCAGGACGGAGGCAGAAATATTTTGAGAATAAAATTATGAAATTCTTATTTTAATATATTTTCTATATTTTTACTCTTTTTATCATCTAAAAAATGATTCCGGATTGAAAAATGCCATGTTTAAAAAAAAACAAAAAATTAAAATCTTTTTTTTATTCGTTCTTGTCATTTCCCTCCAGCATCCACTCAACGGAAAACAAATGGGGTGTCAAAAGAGCGATATTTAAGATGAACGAGAGCTATGTCAAGTTCTTGGATGGTCATTGACAAATGGTAGTATGGTCATTTATAATCTTTGTCTATGGCTCTTATTTTCACCAAATCTGATTAGTTTCATGTGAATTTCCTAAAGTCCCATATTTGATCTGATTTTAATTTTATTGTAGTCGTAGTATAATTAATTTGAAGAAGTTACAGATTTGATCAGGGACGACCACCGACGCAGCCTTCCGCAGAAGTCAACGACGAGCCCTCCCGCCGCGTCTGACTTCCCCTGCCACATGCGATGTCTCCCACCACCAGCTGAATCCAGGTATGTTTCAATTGCAGTGGGTTTATGTGCCTAATTGGAATTAATTCTTGTATTTGATGAAATTCTTAGGCTCTGTTTCGTACACGAAATTCAAACTGTGAATCAAAATTGGGGACAACAATTTCAATTTTGCTGTTTGGTAGCACAAAAATATGTGGACTTGGAATTGGTGGTGCCAAAAATGAATTGGAATTGGAGAACTCACTTCCATTCAAATCAATTCCATAGAAATTTCAACTCCCAATTCAATTCCAGTTCCGTGTACCAATTGGACCCTTACTCATTTCGGTTCGTGCCTGCAATTTGGCCTGGGGGCTGGGAGAGAGCTTTAGCTTCCTAAGTTTCTAAAGGTGTCTATTGTGGTATATTTGGGCATATACCTGAAATGTGTGCAGTTTTCTTGTATAAAATTTCTTCTTGAAAAGCTTCTCCTAGAAATTTCAATGTTCCATTCATTTCTGTACTGTAAGTTTCAACATATTCAAATATTCAAGTGCCCTCGATTTTCACCGACCTGTTTTCCAGTTAAATATCCTTGTGGTCTGTGTTCATAGTTCATATCAATATCATCGTTAGCATTTTATATCTGATTTACATGTTCTTGAATATCGAATGGATCCATTGATCCAACCACACCTATTACTATAAGCTCAAATGGTAGAGAGTGTGTGTGTGTGTGCCTACATGAATATACCTATTGGATGTGTGTACTGTGCAATTCTACTTTTTACTAAAAATCTGTTTGGGTATTATGCCTTGGCCTACATGACACAACTTTATTATAGTCTCTTGCAATTGGGAGTTTCATGGGATGTAGTTTATAGAATGGTTGCACCTTGATTAATATAGTACCGTAACATAGGATGCACACAAGTGACAGAACAAAGAGACAATCATAGCAGAAGCCATATAGTTATCAAATGGAAAATGACATAAAATTGGAGTATGCCATGGGGATGTTTACAAAGAGTGGATGTACAATTCTTGTTCTTTTGATGATTCCCAATATATTGACTATTCAAGTACACCTAGTGTGTGTTTGTTTTCCTTATATTACAGCCTATGTAAATGGTTATTAACTAGATTAACAGTCTACAATCTAAGGCTGAAGGAGACGAGTTAAACACACTTTTGTTGTTCTGCCAATGACAGTAATCCCTGTTTTTAACATGTCAAACAGTCAGATTGTTATGGCTGTTAAATTCATTCAGTCAAAATTAGCACTTTTACTCTAGTAAATGTTTATACTTTATATCAAACATACTCTTAGGTCAACTGTAACCAAACACAACCTTAGGCTTGAATTTGTTTTACAGAAAAAGATTAGACTTAAAATTAGAAGATGTCTTATCATATCAGGAATCATTATGGTTTGTTCTTTACTTCTTTTCCCTTTTTTGTTTCACTACTTACTTGACTCATTGTGTAATGTGCATCCCAAATAAAACCTTTTTTTATTAAATGGTGCTACAACAACAACAACAACAACAAATGCCTCGTGAATAACATATACTACGTATTAAGGCATTACAACAACAAAAACGAACTCGGTACAATCCTACAAAAAGTAGAGTCTATGGAGGGTGGTATGCGTAGATAGACTTTACCCCTTCTGGGATGTAGGAAGATTGTTTCCAAAACACTCCCGGCTCAAACACAGAAGAACAGACAAAGTAAACATAGTAGCATGAACAGTGAGCACACAAACACACGACCAAAAACCACATGTTAAGGCTCTAGGGTATACTTAAACCATTCGAGTCCTAGATGTTCATATGTTCCTATTTAAGTCCATGTGCTTGGTAATATACTGATATCATAATTCATGTCTAAGGTCACGAGTATTAAGGCATTAGTCTATAAAAATAATATTAAAATAAGATTCTTAAGAATTTGCCAACCATGTCCAACAACCGAGAAAAGCAATTAGAAAAAGCAGTACGTTCAAATATCCTACCAGTAGCAATTGCAGGGAAAAACTTAAATAGTGAAATATAAGTAGAGAAAGAAATTCTATGCCTCCGAGTCAGCCAAAGTACCCATCCAAGCAGGTGGCAGCATTCCAGTTTGCTCATGAACAGTCTTAAACAAAGGAGGAAGCATCTTGTAGACACCCGCAACTTCCTTCATGGCCCCACTGCCGCGAGTTGCATCTCCAGCTTCACCGCCATTGTTCCAAATGCTGATCTTAGGCGCAAGTCCTCTGACGGCCTCACCATTGATTTTCGCAATCTCTTGGAACATTCCACCGTTGATCATCAAGTAGTCCCTCAATGCAGCATAGTTTCCTCCCAATGCGTCCAGCAGCGTGCGCAAGTATGCCCCCTGAGCCTGAGCGAGCGCCACCAGCCCCTCTGCCTCCCTCTGCTTGCCGTACAGTTCTCCGTCTGCTCGTTGCTGGCGAGCATAAAGCTCTGCCTCCGCTGTAGCCCTCTGCGCCGCTGCCTCCTTTTCTTTCTGGAAGAGTTTTGCCTCCGCCTCTTTCTGGTTCCTGTACAGCTCCCAGTTTGCCTCTTGCACCTTGGTTTCATACTCAACGCTGGCTTTGCTCAAGAACTCAGCCTTGAGCTTCTCTGTTCTGCCCAGAGCATTCATCTTCTCCACCTCCTTCTGCAGTTCAGCCTCTCTCATAGCCACAGCTTTGCTGGCCTCCACCTCTGCAAGCTTAGCCGCCTGTGCCCACGCGGCTTTCTTCTTGGCCAGTTCAGAGTTCGCCTGGGCAACCTCAGCCTCCAGCTCATTCTCGTACACCTTCACGTCGGTCTTCACGCGCACCTCGGCCTTCTTGCCTTCCCCTTCCCTCTGAGTGGATATGATCTTTGTCTGGGCGTCAATTTTGGCTGCATTCTGAAGGGTCTGCCCCACCCTCTCCTTGGATCCGATCTCTCCCTTCATCTTGGCCTCAGCGACATCAACCTTGGCTTGGTTGGCGGCTTCCATCTGGGTCTTCTGGCCCAAGTAAGAGAAGTACTCGTGGCCGGGGACATCGACCAGCTGCTTGACATTAGCGTTGTAGATGAGGAGCCCAAACTGGTCGAGCTCGAGCTGGACCTTTTCGAAAACCTCCCTCTTGAACTCCTTGGTGCCCTTGAAGATCTGTTCCATGGTCATGGAGGCGGCAAGGACGCGGGTCTCACCCTCGATGATGCCCTGGACGAGCTCGTTGACATGGTTGGAGTGCTTGTCGTGGGGGGCGATGAGCTTGGTGTACTTGTGGAGGCTCTCAGGGTCGTCTATCCGAGGGCCGATCGTGAAGACGGCTGGGAGGATGAACGGGAGCTTCTCGGCGCTCATCGCCTGAACTTCGAAGGTGTAATTCACCGGGGAGATGTCGAATCTCATGCAGGACTGTCCCGGTAAAACCCATGCCTTCTTCGCAATCTTCACGTCATGAATGCCGAAGCCTGTAATGGCCAAGTACTCTGATGCCCCGGCTACCCTATACATCTTCGAACGAGTTGTAGAAGAGGGTTTCTTGAATGAATATAATAGTTTCAGAGTCTCTTTGGTGTCTCTTCGATGTATATATATATATATATAGCTATTTATAGAAAAAAGGGAGGATGCTTGGACGAAAATACTTTGAACTGATTGGGATTCTTATTTCCTAGCACCAATAGGACTTGTGCTAAGGCGTTGGGAATTTATCACATTCCTACTATACATACTCCGGTATATGCATACTTTTTATTATATTTTTCATCATATATCTTGCCCAAAAATTGAATCAAATTTAAAGAAAACCACTCTTTCCATCATTGTTACCAAATTCAAACTTCACTCTCTTTACCAATTTTTATGATTTATTTTATAAAATAATAAGATTCCTGTCAACTCTTATTTTGTAGGTTTTTTTAAGAAGTTTTTAAATTCACACCAATTTACAAATAAATTGGATTGAAAATAACTCTTATAAAAAATTGTAAATAATCATAGACACTCGAATTTGAGTGGGGGAGTATTAATCTTTCTAAATATAAACTATAAAAACGGTTACGTTGTAGTTGCGTAACAAGTCCAATACGTTTTTCCCTGAAGGAAAGTTCCATAACAGTTAAAGCACTTTAAAATAAAGTACTATGTATAAACTGAGTGCATAAATCTCAACTATAAAGTATTACATAGCTAATTAATGCGTAATAACACTGATTTTTGAAAACTACTTTATTCGAAAAGAATATTTTGAGATTATTCAAAGAAATTTATAATTTATAATTATGTGACTAAAAGACTTAAGACTATATTTTCCAAAAAAATTATACGTGTCATGATTATGTACTTTATTTTTAGACAAATGGATAATACGTGCACTATGAGATTGACTCAATGCATATCTTACCTAGAACTTTTGTTTACGGTAAGATGAATAATTATGATATGAAATAAAAGTATTTCCATACATTTTTGACTATTTTTTGAAATATTGAATATTTAAAATAAACAAACTATAAAAAAGATTTAATAAGACTTTTATACTCTATCTTGGTAACTTGGTGTACTATTTTAATCAAAATAATTTTATATTGTAACTTACGATTTACTGAGTACATACTTATATTGTGTTACAATTCAAAATGTTTATACATAAAATTAAGAAATTTTGAATGAGAGAGGACTTACTTCCTACGTTTTCATTTATGCAATCGTACATGAAAACTTGATAGGATGACATTTTATGAGACGACACAGATTTATGCAAAGAAGATTCAGACAAAGAAGGTCAAGGTGTGGAGGGGAGCGTGAGAAGACTTATGACAATGAAGATTTAGGATAATCAAAAAAGTAAGAAAAATTGTGCAGAAAATCCAAGGTGCAAGTGCTAATAAGTTCGAGACTCAGTTACAGGTTACAACCATATCAAAGAAAATACAATTTCCAATTTGTAACTATTTGTATTTTGATAGAACATTTAATATCTTGATGTTATGGATGGTGAAGTAGTATATTTAGATATTATTAGTAGTCATTAATAATAATAATAATAATAATAATAATAATAATAATAATAATAATAATAATAATGAAAGACTCGGAGCGTCTTCGAGCTTTTGAGAATATGGGACGAGGAAGAAGAAGAAGAATTGAGGCGAAGGAGAATCGGCGAACCGAGAGAGGAGAAGGGATTAGGGTTTTGATTTGTTTATTGATTGAATATTCTAAATGAGGTTACATCTCTATTTATAGGAGACAAGGAAACCCTAGCTAACCATAAACATAACCTGACGGTTCAATAAAAGCGACGAGGGAAAGAACCGTTAAGAAACCTCGAAGGAGCTTATACTTCCGCTCACCTAATAAAACCTAAATTACATTAATAATAATAATAATAATAATAATAATAATAATAATAATAATAATAATAATAATAATGACTACTAATAATATCTAAATATACTACTTCACCATCCATAACACTTGATCAGAATATTATCCCGACAAAATCATTGGAGCACTAACATTTTAATATTTTTTT